GATGCGGTGGTATCTGGAATTGCTATGTACAGTCGTTTTTACGAAAAGCTAAGAAGTCTACGAAAAGCTAAGAAGTCATTAGAGAATACGAATACGATTAAAACGTTTATTTAATCAATATATTCACGAGCAGCAAGAATTGAACATTTGACCTCCAAAATCCGTGTTCATTTATGTCGTGCATGTCCTGGGCCAACCGTATAACTGAACTAACGCAACCATTTCGCATATAATAGCTATTCACTCACGCTCTCGGGCATCTTATCGTGACGCCTGTGTCCAGCTATGTCATGCTATGACACCACCATTCAAGTCTCATTGATCACAGCAATCAATAATTGCTTCGGAGTGAGCAGACATACAGTTCTTCTAAAAAACTTGTATACGCTCGTCACAACATTACATATCCGGCACCCGCTATTCAGCGGTGCTTTATGAGTAATCTGTTCTCGGCTTTGCGAACTCATTGAAACTGACCATTCGATATGATCTCAAAATCTCAACCGGTCCGCCTTCCACTTTTCGCACAAATCTTCTTTTCTACATCATGAAGACCCAAATGGCCTGTCGTCCCTCTAAGTGCATACTTGTGGAGAAACCCCGTATATCAATATGTACACCAAAATTGCATGGGTTGAACACAATAGCTACGCTGTCTTTATGACGTTGCGCACAGGAAGTGTTGATAAACTAAATCTTGATCACCATCAGACTTGCATATAGATTCATGTACCATTACGAATAACTGGGCCGGTGATGATTTCATCACGTATTGAACTTGGAAGCCGCCCAAAATTATCGAACTATCAAGTCATCCCTCCTGTAGTACCGTGCACGCTACAATTTGCTTCTGCCAATCGGTATCGTCCCGGATAATATAAAAGCACCAGCGGGTATAAACATGTAGCTGTCTGTTCCTGTTGCGCAAACCTCTAGGTTCTTGATGGCATCTACAACCTCATACATTTTTTTTGTTACATATATACTTTAAACAACCACATACATGTATACTATACTCAGTACGAGTGGCTGATTTCTAAACCATTGAAATTTCTATCTTCTTGCAAAATTTGGGAATATGCTACCATTTCAAGAGCCCAAGCGAGTTTGACTTTTTGCACGAATACCAATCCCGCAATGTACACGTGCGAAGAATGATGCCCAGAGCCAATACTAGACCACGTACAGCTGTATGTGAGTTTACTCACCTCCCTCCAAACAGACGTTTCTTACGGTAGACTGCGTACCTATCCGTAAGAATCTACCCCTATAGATACTGCTCTGACGCTTTAGAGTACTGTGACACGTCACTAATACTGGCGTAAAGCGAACTTTGAGAGCATAATTATATCGTTCAATGCACTCAAAATAGCCACAACATATCATTATTATTAGGTAAAAAAAAACCCCAGTTCAAGCTACACAGTATTTTGTTCAAGTGCGCCAATACAGTCAAAACGTAGTGATTATAGCTATAACAAGTAACAATAAAGTGCTAAACGCGAGATGAAACGCAAGTCCCAGAACCTCACAAACAATTTCAGCTGCACACGTTTATTGTCCAAGTCTGTCAATATCTCGATAATAAGCTTCGTCATATCTTATTTGTCGCACACGCCCTTCTCAGACTACCGATTTCCTTTGAACTCCATTCATACTCTACTTGAGTGCACAGAATTGCCGCACACTCTTCGGCAGTCTCATACCGCTGATAAACTGTGCAACACATCTACAAGCTTTCGCAGATACACGAATGTATTCCCACATCTAAGACAAAGGCCCAAAAATTTACCATCACATTCGCTTGCCTCTTCGTTTACACAGTGTATCATACAGCGCTAACCTGCAAATAAAAGCCACTCGCACCGCAACATGTACTGATCCAGGCGTGATGATGAACTAAATACACCTCCCGACACCTCCACGAGAAATACAACCTTGCGTACTACAACCCTGGGCAGACCTACTCTATGGCTCACGTTTTCGGTCTGAGTCTCGTCCGGAATTCTCTCCACCCATCCTGATACGTCGCTGCATCTCTTCAGGTCTACGGCGTATAACCAATCGCCCGCTGGTATATTCCCACGGGCCAATCGCATCGCGTCAAACAGCACAAAGCGCTAAAGCCTCGCCACTTATTGGACCGTGGAAACAACGCCACTACAGCCAAAAGTGCCGCTGTTGCATTCTATGAGTCTCTACAGAAATGGGCTCTACACACCGTTCACCGATAAGGCATGGCGTGCGATAGAGCCTTCCTAACGTACAAGGCTTCGCGCACACCACAGCATATACCACCTCTCCCACACATATCGCGCCTAATCCGAGCGTGACGATGGACTGGAACTTCTGCTGCCACGATCCGAACTACTACGGCTGTTGCGCTTGTACCTCTTACTGCCCCTCGCCCTCTCCCCAGTCTTACTGTCCCGGCCCTTCTCCCGACTATCGGAACTATCTCGCGCACTCGCCCGTTCACGTCGACGCGGTCTACTGCTGCGGTCGCGCGAGCGCCTAATACCACCGCTGCGGCTGCGTCTGTGTGGGCAATCACCAGTACCATGCGATGCACTCTCCCCCACACGCCTGCGTGTCTTCGACTCGTCCTTGTCCGTAGGTCCAGCCGCCTGCCTCTCACTTACAGTCGCATCGGCATCAGCATCCGATCCGCTGGTGCTTGCTTGGCGATGCCCCTTCTTATCGGCACTGTCCCTATCCTTACCCTCATCCCGCGAGTGCCGTCTACCTGTCTTCGGCTCATCCGCTGATCTGCCCGTTGACCTCCCACCGCCCGAGCTTCGGGCTTGGTATCTCCGACCACTCGCCCTGCTTTTTGTCCGATTCCTATTTTTAGAATCCGATTCTCTGCCTCTCCCGCGTTTGTCCCGGCCCCTACGCCCTCTGTGTCTACGTCTATCGCTGCCACTGTCAGAATCACTCGCACTGTCACTAGTCCCGGAACTGGAGCCACTCGATGAACTACTACTGCTCGAATCAGAGCTGCCACTACTACTACTACTGCCGCTGCTGCTGGAACCCGATGAGTCCGAACCAGAGCTAGACGAAGACGACGACGACGAAGAAGTAGAGTCTTTGCGCTTACGCTTGGAGGATGGTCTGCGCGATGTGAGAGATGAGAGTGGTTGAATAGTGGTGTTGTTATGTATAGGGTTGTGTGTGAAGGATAGTTGTGCAGCGGATAGCAAATCACTCTATTTAGGTATATTGATAAACGCACGTACAGGACGCCGAGGAAGAAGAACGTCAGCGAGTAGGCTCACAGGGTGGACCGTACAAGATAGAAGGGGTATTATGAGATAGTGGCACATTTAGAAGTGGCGTGATTCGTTGTACACGGACGTCACAGCAGTTTCAACTCAGAAGTTGAAAATTGCACAGGGATGATGCGTGTTCGCAAGATGGATGTCTGATCGACACAATGCTGCATAGTACACCTAGGAAAAACCGGAGCAAGCAATACAACGAAAGTGATCATATGGCAGACGACCAATATCGAAAGATAAAATGGAGCGTATCGAGTTCCAGCACACCATACTTGATACCAAATCGAAATACCAATTGCTAAAGATACTGTACTGCGACAACCTACTATACAAGCACTCGACCACAAGATCAAATATCGTACTATAGATACCATGTTCATATTATTGTAATAGTGGACTGAGCACTAGCTGTGTAATGAATCAGTGTACGTACCCTAATATGGCCGGTGTATGCTTAGGCGCAAGAGAAGGGTTCTTCAGTGCGGCGGTACGGGTGGGTCTGTGGGCGTATTTCGCCGACTGCTTACACTCGTATGTCCAATGGCCCGGTTTCAGACACTTCTGACAGCGTGCTTGGTCTGTGATCTTATTCTGCCTACGAATCAGAAGCGAAAATTGTGAGAGATTGGAAATTCCAGGGACAAAAACCGACACTCTCTTTATAATATATATATATATATATAAACATATACATACGTATATACATACATACATACTTACATACATAAATATATATATATTTATAAATATAATAAAATAATATAATAATATATATACATACAAACATACCTGCATACATACGTACATACATACATACATATACACACGTGTACACACACACACACACACACACACACACACACATATATATATATATATATTATATATATAATAAAATAATATAATAATATATATACATACAAACATACCTGCATACATACGTACATACATACATACATATACACACGTGTACACACACACACACACACACACACATATATATATATATATATATAAATATATAAATATCAGTAAATGAGGAGGGAAACACGAACCATAAGAATCCAACCGTTATATAAAGGTTATTTACCATGTGCGAGGAGTGAGACAGACACCGTCTATTTAAAAACCCAAATGTATGTCAGACAGGGTAGACGAGTGGCTAGGGATCGTATTCGGCATACAAGTCTCCCAAATAGCCGCTCAAGCTATCTGTGTTCCATTTGGGAACATACTGGCCTAAACCGCACTCGCAGATAGTTGTGGAAGGCTGGTGAATGTCCTGCAATTGTATGTCGTCACCATGAGCACCAAAACACCCTATCCACACATGAACTAAACGGCCTTTACTATACCCGCATACAGTTTCGGACCGCGGATGATTGCCCTAAAACTATTAGCCGTTTTCAAGCACACACGCTACAACAATACACCAACCAAACTTCAGAAAGGGGGATCTCAGAGTATATTAACACGCTAGTTCACCAGAAAAGTGAGAATGGAAATGTCTCATACCCATTGTATCACCCTCAAGACTTGATCATGTGTCTGCTGTGTCAGAACTCGCACACAATAGCGAGCGGTCGCCACGATTCATAGGGCACTGGCTCTGAAACTGATCGACATGCACAGGATGATTCACGTTCGCATGGTAGGTGTACTTATCCTTCATCTCGATAACTGCGGTACTGCATCTCACAGCCACAGTGCAGTCTATACAGACATTACCGCGCTCGTTCCTATTCACACTCCATGCAGATCGAAAAACGTGGTTTCCACATCATACAAAGATTATTGGGTATTAAACACTTCACATGTGATAGGCACAGAGCATTCCACACACTTATCGATAACAACCTAAGAGCACAACGCATATGTTCAATGTGAATGCACTTACCCGTGGTCCTTGGCCTTCTCGTACGCCTTCAGGCCTATCGCAGCAAGACGCTCACGGTGGGTGATGGGCGGTTTACTATCCACCATGGTATCAGTTATGAAGATGCTTTCGCGGTGATTAGCGTGTAAAGGAAGATGGGATGGTCAAGAGTAGGCCGACAGGGGAGACGGGGTTGGTGTAATGGTACCTGCTAACGTATGTACACTCTTGTGTGTTTAGTGTATACATATTCACAGTTGTATTTATGTAAATTGTCCCGAAAATCTGTAAGTAGATTCACAGTTACGCTAAATAACCTCGTTACATTGTGGTAATCCAGAGAGCATACGTTGAACGTAAACAACAAAAGTTTTGATATTTTTAAACGGCATACCATAGGTGGGGTAGAAAAGGTCCAACCTACTATGAAGGACAGTCGGACTATATGCTGCACCTCTGTGACTGAAGTCTGATCCCAAATCAAGACAGACTCAATATAAACGTTAAACGTAATTGTAAATATAGATATGCTGATTTTGAAGCGTTGCAAGTTGGAACATGAAACGAAACGAGGTCAGGTGGGATCACTGGGACTCTCTCTGTGGGGAGTGTAGAGTTTAAGGAATGTAAGGTAGGAGGAGTGTAGGGTTTGAAGAATGTGGGGTTTCAGATTGTATTTTTACACTACCATGTTTATGTACACACAATGTCTCATGTGTGAAAACATGAACAGCATGCGTGAAAAAGGTGTCGTATGTGTGAAAAGATAAGAGCATATTCAGTGACATGCAATGTTGATCAGCATCGAAAGTTACTTTTCGACATATTTCTTCGAATTGCCAAAACCAGCAATTTAAATTACGTCAAAAGTCTTAGATATATATCTTTCCCTCTGTTGAGCTTCTGGTATTGCAAATGAGTTGATTTCGGGGTTGGCATATACATTCAACCCTAAATTTTCTTGTACACGCCAATTGACTGTAGATAAAAAGAATTTTCTTTTTCGGAGGTGAAGGTTCTAGCCATTCTACAAGCACCCGGAAACAGGTACAAGTGAAAGCGTTTATTCTAAAGCAAGTTCAAAACAAGTGCGTAATTTCAAGCTCCAGTGATAAACTGAAACAATAGACATGGCTCGTACGCGTATACAAAATCAGTACATTGGGCCATGAGAAGAATGCATACGTATTACAAGCAAAGCCTGTGAACACGCACGAGTTCTTAGAACATATGCTTCCAATAAATGATTGTCAATCCTATCTGTGTTATGTGCTGGGCAGTGGCGTACGACATAGCATTTAAAACAACGAAATGAAGCCTATACAGTTTTCCCTCTCTCCAACTAGCCCTCAAATATATATAGCCACCCTATATAAACACTAAATGACTGCAACGGACCCTCACAGGTCAATTACCGAGGCTCTACTATGCTCTTATATATTCAACTAGAATACTAGAATGAGCATTCCATAGTCCATTTTCGAAAACCATTCAAGAAACCCCATCCTCTGAATAGAATAAAAGCCAGCCCGGTGCTTCAGGCGAATCGAAAGCGTTTCGTTATTGCGTTTATTGAATGTATGTGAAACCGTGATCAATCAATCCTCCACTTCATACGGCCCAAAGGCCTTTCGCATCTGCTGCACCAGCGCAGTCTCCTCTTCCAGTGACACCTTGCAGGCTTTCCAGTCGATCCGGTCGGGCAGGTTACAAATCTTCTCAGAGCCAATCACCTCCCTATAGTATTCGAAGGACAGGGGATGATATACAAGTGATATATGCATGTGAGTGATACTTAGACGCAATAGCGGCAGAAGTTTTATGTATGGCGCAAGGTTGACGTTTGCGAGCCTTCCAGTCAACCCGGTCGGACAAGCGTATAGGTGAGCCAATCATCTCTCTCCCCTGTACACCGGTTGAACGATAGATGTATATCACGGAATGGAAGTGATATATACAAATGGCAGATATGAGAATAGAAGTGATGTCAGTGGAATAGGGAACACGTTAACAAGCCTTCGAATAGATCCGGTCAGCCGTCTCAGGGGCAATCTCCTCCCTGGACCAATTTGAGATAAGAAGAGAGAGTATCGCAATGGCAAGCACAATTTAGACAAGTCGTTGATTAGATATACAAGCCCACGCATACATGTATTTAAATATACGTATATACACGTGTGTTTAATTATGCGTACATATACATGTTTAATTATACATACACATATACATGTGCTTAATTGTACATACACACATACATGTATCTCATTTCATTTGAATATACTGTAATGGTGAGTATGTTTCATGGCGAAGTATTGGCTATAGCCGAGGGGTGGATGCTCAGATATAGCTATAGCATCTTTAAAGATAGTATCAGGTTACTTGAGCAAGCGCCGATATCAATCAGCGACAAGGCCAGAGATACCACAGGGATCGTCTCACCTATCTTGTACCCGCCCTCATGTTAAACCAGGTACCATCTATACTAAAAGATAGGTACATATTGGTTCTTCAATTCGAGGTATAAAAGGGCATCCATAAGTGGACTGGCAATTTAAAAATAAACATTCGTTCAGTGCATCCCTAGAAGCAGAAAATAAACTACACACAACAGGACGACGAACTATTACCAGCACAAACGCACACTACACACACTGGCCAGGCTGTGACAGAAATCGTATGTATGCGTCTATCATATGTTGCTGCTGTGGCTGATTAAACCGAAAAGAGTACCTTCCTTATTTGGAGTAGATGAATAACATGTATACACAAGCATGGGAGAGTCTAGTCGAGCAATCACGCACACAAATGAAGTAAATACAACACAGACACACGCACAGGATAAATGATCACCACTCTCACAAATGATATAAATATAACACAGACACACGCACAGGATAAATGCTCACCACCCACACAAATGATATAAATATATCACAGACACACGCACAGGATAAATGCTCACCACCCACACAAATGATATAAATATAACACAGACACACGCACAGGATAAATGCTCACCACCACACAAATGATATAAATATAACACAGACACACGCACAGGATAAATGCTCACCACCCACACAACGTATTATAACTCAAACATATACACACGCACACACATTGCTATAACCCAAGAACACACACACACACAACATATTGTCACCGCACACATACACACGTACACGCACACAGCATATTATCACCACACAGGTACACAAACACACACACACACACACACACACACAGAGGCACAAGTCTTACCGCCCGAATTGCAACGGAAAGCGCTCCTCGCCCGGCACATGCGTATGCACCATTTGGCTGCCATCGGCAAACTCCACCAAGAAGAAGCCCTTGTTGCGTGAATGGGGTGGGTTGGGTGTGGTAGCTGTGTCCTTGTCGGGTGCACTCACATCGTCAAAGGGAAAGCCTGATAGGTTGCCGTGTGATCGGAAGGCGGCCTTGACCTCCTCCGTTGGTATTGAGCTCGAGATGGGAATGCACTGGATCTGTGTAAACGGGGACATATGCAGTTAAGATGTGCAGGGGTTGTGCGAGAAATGATCGTACGTCTAGGGATGGCTAGGGTATAGTGAGATTGAGGCCACTCTAAAGACAGATAACTCTCGTAGAGCACAGGGCACCCCTCGCGCAAGGAATACAAAACATGTGTAGTTGATGGAGTCAGGAGGAGATAACACTCAACACCATGGCATAACAGACGTTGTGGTAGGTAGAGCGGGAGATGTCTGGGGCAGTACAACTATACTGATCGACCATTGAGGTCGAAGAATGAGGTTATGAGTGCACTATATGTCCAACGATAGGGGCTATGGGAGCATTGGAATATATCTGCTATATAACACAGCAACCGGTCCTCAACTCCACTGGGATTGTACCTGCGTATATACAGTACAATCGGATCATTCAACACACCCATGCACGTGCACTACTACAGGGATTGTACCTGCGTATATCCAGTACAATCAGATCACTCAACACACTACTACAGGGATTGTACCTGCATATGTCGAGAGGCATAACTGCGTTCGAACATGACCAGGTTCATGCCCAGCACTTCTTTGTAGTACTTCTTGAGCGCCGCTTGGTGCTGTTTGAGCTCGGTCTTGGCCTCTTCGGACAGGTGCCGTGTCGACCCAATGTGGTTGATGGGCAGGATAAGCACGTGCTCGCACACTAAGTGACCTATTAACAAGAGGCAGGGGTGGTGTTGATCCCGTGTGGTTGATGGGCAGCATAAGCACGTGCTCGCTCACTAAGTGACCTATTAACAAGAGGCAGGGGTGGTGTTGATCCCGTGTGGTTGATGGGCAGCATAAGCACGTGCTCGCTCACTAAGTAACTTATTAACAAGACGGAAGTCGCACCACGCACCACGCAGTAGCAGAAATGAGAGCGACAAGCCATTGCCTACGGCTCTTGGGCGGGATAGGCACATCTTCATACGAAAACCCTAAATAAGGCAGCAGATTGATCGCACGGGGTACTGAAACAAGCGGCGACATAGCACAACTAGGAAGGTTAGGGAACGAGGATAGTCACTGTGTACATGTCTGCGACAGGTACACACACGCAACAGACAACGGCAGACGCCAATTGCACCAGGGCGGTGCTTTGCTGAGACGATAGAGATGGCTCGAACTCAGAGACACCTGCCTCAGAAAACTGGCAGAGTCACACAGCTGCGTGTATACGTCTAACATTTATACCATAGCTTAAAAAGTTACATACTATACACGTATTGCAACTTAAATACAAATCAAACGATATACAAATTGATACACATAGGCAAACTTTTGTATGCGTGTGATATGTACATGTTTGTGCCCCTGGACCCCACACAGTGCTATTCGCTCCGAGTACAACTGAGACAAAACAAGCGACCGCTCAGCGGGTACTAATTACGGACCAATCTATACGCCATACACGTGTGCAGAAACGCTCACAAAAAGGGTTCATCAAGGGATATCTAAAAACCCTAGAACAAACCCTAAAACCCAACACATATCACCTTCGACTGATATACACGGCCAATCCATACCCCACACATACACCTACCCTTTGCATAGGCTATGTACATGTCTGTGCCAATGGACACTACCAGATGCTTCTCCACCTGCGGACTGCTGAGACAGAACCAGCAAGGACTGAGCGGCTCCTGTTTGGGGAACTTCTTTCTCCCTACGCCAGCCTCAGCCATGGCGTCTGCCTGCGACAGCAACCCACCGGGGCCTATGATCCCAAAATGCCAAAAAAATATGGGTAAAATTAGGACATACCGAAAGATTGGTGAAGATAGGCGCTGTATTTTGGGACAATTAGGTTTGCAATCCATACATGGATGATAGATAGGGAGTGGTGGTTGATTGCGTATTCATTAGAGCATATGAATAAATACAATACGTAGTATGTATATATTCGGCATACATACCTACATACACACACGCACAAATGTACACACATGCACACACACACACACACACACACACACACATATATATAT